AAAAAAAAAAAAAAAAAAAACCTGTTACCTGCATGTAAACGCCGTGCCCGCCTGCTGCCGCCTTGCCCGCCTACTGCCGCCTCAGCCCGACAATGCCGCCTAATCCGCCGATCCGCGTAGACCGCCGAGGGCCGCCTAGGCGCCGCCGAGCCCGCCCGACCGATTTTTATGGCCGATTTGGCCAAATCGTCGGCGGCTTGCCGGCGCCTAGCGCCTAGGCGGCCGCCTAGGCCGAGTTTTAGTACACTGATAAATACACTACATCTTTTCACATTCACTATTCATTTTCTCTCAAAACACTCATCTCTATCCTCATTAATGAGGGTTATTATTGGCAAAAAAATATTCTTAATAACTGTTCAACTTCTCAAGACAACATCATAATAGGAGAGAGTATAAATCATCACACTAAGCAATATTGATAATTTTGAAATGAATTTTGAATAAAAATAAATTGCAAATATCGATCATTTCATTTCTAAGGAAAGATTGTGTTATTTTAGTCTTGTATCTTTAGTATAATGGTTTTTTAAATTTAATGTGTTTAATTTGAAAAAACCCTACCTGAGAGTGGTTATTGATGATGTGAGGAGATGTTGGACCCTGTTTTTTCGATATCATTTCATTGGTGAAATAGGACAAGGTTGTAGACTTTTGTCAAAAACTATCTGTTAGTTTGTGAAAATGTGGTGTTTGTTGAACTATCCGTGACTTGGTATTTGCATTCGTAAAAAATTCTATGGAGCCATCAGATGGTTTTCTTATGGAGCCATTGATCAGTTAATATATTGACACATGTCCAAAGTGTATTTATTGTAAGATACATGTCAATACACTATTTGTGAATAACTGTGGATGACTCAATAGTTCGAGCCGTCCGATAACTCCATAGCAAAACTGTTTTATTTGTTTGTGAAGCTGAACTACGTTGTTGAAATGGTTGGCATTGAACTAATGTTGGTAAATGTTTGGTTTGTTATCTTTTTGTTGGTATTGAACTAATTTTGTTAACTGTTTAGTTTTATTTTTATTTTTTTGTTTATATTGATGTTTTTGTTGGTTTTGATATAACAAATGTTTTAGTGATAAAAAAAGTGTTAGTTTTGTAGGTTCAAACATAAGATACATAAACCAAGGTATTGATATAATTGATGAGAGTTTTACAACATATTGGTGTTAACACGTTGTCAATATTGACTTTTTATAACAAATCTTTGTTAACCCGTTATAAACGACTGTCTGCATATAATGGGTGTTTGCGTTAACCTATTCTAAAAGACAGTCTGTTTGAAATGGGTTCAACTCGTTTTAAAAAGTTTATTCTGTTTTATTACGGTACGAACTGTAACGCACGCAGAACTGCTATAAAAAGTCTTTATTATTCGTTATAAAAAGTACTTTATTCTATTAGTAGAGGATGAACATACCATCCTTTTTCCAAAGTCAAATGAAAATAGATTATAATATATGGTCAAATTCAACCTGAAAATAGATTATAATATATGGTCAAATTCAACCTTATTAACATTGACGAATATAACTAAGAAGTTACTTTCCAATAAGGAAATTCTGAAAGAGTTTGAGTGCTCTAGCAGGTTGGTAACTCGGCACGTCATGTCCAGCTCCTCTAACTGTATAAAACTTCAAGCCATTTTTATAAGATGTAGTGTACCCAGCAACCTGATGAAAAAAGAAAGTAAAAAAAAAAAATAATAAAAATGAAGTAATATGGCCATAATCAAATATGGTGACAACGTTTAAGCGATACATTGGTAGTATGATACATATGGTATACATTCATCGTCGACATTTTTATTGTTTTATATTTATACTTTATTCAAACTCTTCGAGCTGCGTAACGGTCCAGTATTCTTTTGGTCATTTGAATCAGGAACAAGTTAATTATTAAATTTTAATATCAAATTTTAATACATTTTAATTAATTT